GTGAGTGATAGTTTGGGCTAATGACTTGACAGTCAGAGCCATGATCATGAGCCAAGCAATCAGATACTATCTTAGAAGCTGGAAGCCAGAAGGAAGCTTCTAGAAGGAATGCAGTCCTACCTTAATTATACTCATCTCAAGAGTTATGTAAGAGTGAATTTGTGCCCCTTAAACTACTATACTTGTGAAAATGTGTCACAGAAGCAAGAAGACCCCCGCCCCCACCTTCGTCGCCCACTAAATGGCTTCAGGGATCACCTCAGACTTCTTCAGTCCCATTTCCCTCAGCATTGCTAGAGATTCTGAGAAACCTTCGGAATAATAACCAAGAGGAAATATGGAAAAACAAACGGTCTGATTTGCAAAGAACGGAATTCTACTTCCTTCCCAACCTCTTTGCTCTCCTTCCACACACTGTCTCCAAAGAGCAGCATGCTAGTAAGTTCTCAACAACCTTTATTAACACAAAGGCCAATTGAGGAAAAACTAAAATGTTTACAAGCTAAAGCTATGCTTTTCCCACTGAAGATGAAAACAGCTTTTCTGGGCCCCAAGCATATAATATATGTTTGTACAACACAGGTAACTATTAGGACTGAACAACACCTGTGGAAAATGGGCACTTCCAGCCTCTAAATTAACATGTGGAATAGTCATGATGGAGCATTCGAGAGACAGCTTTCTATGCTTTTGTTCTTAGTTATATATGTCCTGTCAGGGTCTATAGAATGTAGACATACATTTCCCACTTAATCTTCAAAGCACTTAGATCAGAAGAATAATGCCTCGTGTTCCATATCACAGCAGGGTAACTATGGTTGGCAACAGTTAATTTTATGCTTCAGAATAGCTAGTGCAGGGGATTTCAAACACTCCCTACACAAAGATATGATGTTTTAGATGATGATCTGATCATTATGCTTTGCATACATGTACTGGTGCAGAGAATAAGAGACTAAGGAATCCTCAGCCCTAAATGGGACGTCTGTATCACATTCCTCCTCCCAAGGCTCACAGATTATTGCAGAAGAGATGTGAAAAATTTGTAAGAGCCACAGGCAGTGGATGCTATAAGGAAAGAGTGTTTCCAAGACTCAGCATGGAGATTGTGCATATGAACTCACATTGATTGGGAAAGCATGTACAAGACCTACTTTGTCTGGCTTGGCCAGACCAGTAGCATGGGGATGGGGAGCTATTGGCAGGTGATAGCCACTGGAAGAAAGTCAGTTTTCTTTAAGGGTGCAGACCCTGGTGGGTTGACCACCCTTAAGCGAAGGCCATGATGTATACAGACTGCACCAAATGTACTTGATAGGTTAAAAGAAAAGAACACAAAGTTGGATAGGTGGGGACGGGAGAGGTGAATAGGGGACGGGAGAAGTGAACACCTATTGAAATACTTGATGTGAAATTCTCAAAGACCTAACACAAGATGGGGGAAAAAAAGGAAGAAACGTCAGATTTTTATCCCATAGCTACATGCACTGATTATGTTTATTAAAGAGAGAGAATGAAGGGTGGGAGAGAGAAAAGGAGGGAAGGGGTGAAAAGAAAGGAAAGAAAGAAGGAAAAAGGAAGAAAATAACCCTCAGAACACTCCAGGTTTGGTAGTAGTAACATCTTCAACTCAGAGATGGGAACAGTGAGGCTTTCTCAAGATTATGAAAGAAGCGGGTGGCACGCCATAGTCTAGATCAGCCAGTCTAGATCAGCCTGCTAGATTTCACACTATGTTGTCGGATCACTTGGTATGTGCCTAGTTCCATGAATCTTCATCCCAGAAAACAATGAAGCTCCCAGCCAGATGTGAACGTGGCATCTCCAGACCTGTGGCTTTTGATATCATTTCGGTGTCAATTGCTCTGATCAACTGAGCTGTCAGCTTCCAGCACCTGCCAGGGAGCAGTTTTCCCAAAACTTGAAGCTCTCATAGAGACCCTGCCCCATAACTGTGGTCTAGGAATTGGAGCTTCCCCATGGTTTGTTGAGGGGGAAAGGGGGCCTCCTGGGAGAATGTAGATACATCCACCCCAATCTGTCTACTGCACATAAAATCAAAAATGTTGTTTCAAGTATCAGGAAACATTCTCCTCTGTGCACCATGGGCAGCAATCCCTGCATTACCCTCTTTTTATAAACCAGGCATCTTACTGTGGAAAAAATAAGAAGAAAATTTAAAATATATAAAAGCTAGTCCCTTCTCTTTGCTAGACTCCCTGCTTTAATTTTAAAAAGTCCACTTTCCCAGTGACTAACAGGTGATATCTACCACTTCCACCCAGTTGTATGGCATGGCCCTTCACAGTCTTGAGAGCAAAATCCCATCGGGATGATGTCATCACCAGAACATTTTGAAAACAGGATATCTTACCCCTGCAGCAGCAAGAAGTGGAGGCTTCCAGCCCTGATGGTGGAAACAGGATGCCAGGCAGATGGAGAAGGAAAACAGCAGTATTGTGACCACAGAAGAGCAGGACACACAAAGAGCTGAGGCAGCTAAAGTCAGTCCTCAGTTACTGGGCATTTTGTAAATTTCCTGTCACAGATGCTAGAGGGAACTTCAAAACCGCTACTGACATCCAGATGGAAGACCTGGAGTTGGTTCAGTCTCAGGGCCACCCACCATGAGCCTCGAGGACTCTACCTATTCATCCACACTCTAAGCATACAGGGGCTCTGTGATCAGAAACCACCACTCAGATTGGGGTACAACATATCTACTTCCCAAGAAGCTCATGGCAGCCCACTTCAGAAAGATGGGGGTTCCCTTCTCCATCTGGTCTTCTTTCCTCTCACACTCTCCTATGATCCCAGGGACAGCAATATAATCCATCCCCCTTTACTCCCTGTAGAGTCCTACCCCACCTTGGGATCTAACCTGGAGAGGGGCAACAGATATATGTGTCCCCACTGTCCCCTTTATACCTTTCTACTCAGACCTCATCCTCATCTTTCACCATCCCAGGCTGCCTCCTCACCTGCTCGGATCCAGGCTTACCAAATGATAAGAGTCACCTGCAATAAGATATTCCTTCCAAAGCTCCTCTCCCTCCCTGACTCCTTCTGCTCTGTGCTTCCGGAGTGTCGGCAGGAAGAAGTCTTGATTGAAACTTGTGAGCTGTTCTCAGGACCCCTGCCACCTCCTAGATGCCAAAATCTGGATGGCTAAGATTTTATTTATTACCTTATTTTATTTGTTTTATGTACTACTTAATTCCTTCTATAAAATACTGTGGTGTTTGCATATAACCTCTGCACACTTCTTATAGACCAAGCCCTCTCTGAACTCCTTGTAATACCCAATATAATACAAAGGCTAAGCAGGTTACTGTACTATATTGTTAGTAAATAGTGATAAGACAAAAGTCTGCATATGCTCAGTACAGATGTATCATGCTTTCTGAAGGTTTTAGTCCGTCGTTGGTGGACCCCAGATCAGAAGCGTGGCAATGACATTTCCAGAAGAAACTTATGATTATGTGTAAGGAGCAAGGGCACGTCTGAACAATTTGTCAAACAGCCCCCGTTCTCCAACAAAGAATGAATTGACCCAAAATGTCAGGAGTGCCAAGGTCAAGAACTCCTGTTCTTCCCTGTGTGTGTTCCTTGAGGATAGAAATTTCAACTATCCGGTCAGTCCCCAGGACTCAGCACAAATCCTAAGAGCCATCTTCCACTGTGGTCCTGTGGCTGGTAAGCAAACGTATGAGAGAGTAAATTCTCACCTTACTAAAATGCCTGTGCATGTTCCACTACTTGCATAAGGTATATTGTCAGACCCATGAATGTGCACATAAACATATCTGCACACATGCACGGACTACAGAGTCATGCAGACATGCAAAGACAGCAAACACACACACACACACACACACACACACACACACACACTTCTTCCTGATTCTGAAACCCAATACCCATCTGACTCTAGTCACCAGCCCCCGGCTCATCGGAGCATCAGGTCTGCCCACTTTACCCCACTCCAGGGAAAATGACCTCGATACAGACACCTAGGTGGAGGCAGTAAGTGCTCTCCAGAATTTCACTGACTAGATGGTTTTTTCACTCTGTGGCTCCATTATTAAATAAGTGGTGAGCCAAAATGGAAAATGAACCTTTTGCAATTACACACGCAGAAGGCAACTGGATAGCAGGGACAGCAAAATGCCAACTGTGACAATGGCATAATGGCCCAGAAGTGCGGCAGGCAGGCAGGTCTGATTCATTAAATCCAGTGGCGGCAGCAGTGGGTGTTGTCATGGAGTGAATGGGGCTGGAGGGAAGGCAGAGCGGGGTCAGACACCAGCCAGCTGCCAGAACCAGCTGAAACAAGCTTGCTTGGGGAGCGGGGAAGTGGGTGGGAAGGGCCAGATGCAAAGGCACTGTCCTTTCTTTAGTAGCCTTTCCACGACTGGGGACCAGAGAACCCTCCAGAACCAGACAGAAAAAAAGAAGGCATTATCAAAAAGAGACAGGGAACTGATGTTTTCTGTGTCAATTTCCTGTTTTGTTTTGTTTTGTTTAAAGGGAGCATAAAGAAATTGCTGCTTCAGTTCAGGAGCCAAATCAAGTTCCAACTGGCCTCGCTCACTCCTGCCCTGAATCACCCTACGAGGCTTTCAAAGTTTGGCATGCCTGTGAGCACCTGGATCTTACCTTTATCCTGCTGTTTCCTGCCTTCCAGATAGTTTCTGACTGCTCGTTTGACTTTCCATCAAGGCTCACGCATGTGTCTTCAGTGAACATACTCCAATCAGATAAATCTGTCTGAGGGTTCAGACTTCAGTGGGCAGAAGGCAAAGGTCGGCTGACCTCGGGTCACCCCTGCTGGGTCTCAAAGTTTGGATTTACTTGAGATCAGCTAAATGAGCCAGCGGAGAAACGGCGAACTTCTGGTGCATGCGAGAGGTGTTTTACTAAGGCAGTCACTGCAACTTCAAAACAGCGGACCCCACCATTGCAACCAGATTCTAAAATGTCTTATAGGACAAAGTGACTATGGTGAACAACATTTAATCATTTAATTCAAAACAGATCCTAGAGAGCATTTCTAATGTTACCAACACCTACCCATAAAGGTGATAAACATTTCAGGCAATAAATATGTTTTAACCCTGATTGTATGCATAGTGTATGCTAAAATTTCACTCTGTACTCATAGATGCAAACATTCATAATGTGTCAACTAAAAACAAACAAGTACACACACACACATATATATCATATATCTATATGATACAGACCCATGTATATGTATCATACATATATATGTGTATATATTTACATACACATATATCACATATACATATATACATACACATACACACACATATATGTGTATATGTATCAAAGCAGTTTTTAAGCCATCAGCAGCAATCAGCAATGCCCCGCCTACATTGCAGATTAGCTTTGGATTTTAATTGGAGTTACAGGTAAGCCCCTTTGTGCTGAGTATTATTTGAGGACAAATCACCATTTGCACATACTCCACGGATAACCGATGGGTCTGTGTTAACAGTACTTTACCTTAACGTAGGTGATACACTTTCAACCACATAGAACACGGCATTCAAAGTATGTAATAGAACCACACACCAGATGATTCTGACTGGACCCCTCTTGGAAAAGGAGATCTTTGTGCTCTCCACTTTTCTTCTCATTGCTTTTCTTCAAATCTAACCACTCTCCAGGGCACACGTGTTCCGGGCCTCCAAGGAGTTGGCTGCCTCACCTTCTGGTCTCTATTGAGACCCCTCTACCTCACCAGCCTGCATCAGAAGAATTGCCTTGAGTGCTGAGCCTCCACACCCAGGCAGCAGCTGAATCAAATGCCACAAAATTACTTTATCTTTGTTCAGACAGGGTTTCATATAGCCCCAGACAGCCTTGAATTTGCAACATAGCCAAGGATAACCTTGAACTCCTGATCCTCCTAAACGCCGGGATTACAGGCATGCATAACCACATCCTATTTTTGTGATGCTAGGGGTCAAACTCAGGCCTTCCTTCTTGCCAGACAAACACTCTGTTAACTGAAGCGCATTCCCAGCCCCTCTGGTGTTTGGGAATGAAAAGGAGCCATGCATATCCATGGTGGCTGAAACACAAATCTGGAAACTTGAGAGCTGATGGCAGCTGCATACGGTTGGAGCAGTGAAAATAGAAAGCGTGTCTACCGAGGAAGCCACAGGGAATCTGCTTCAGCTCTGGCTCCAGCCGCCCTGAGCTCCGCCATGTTCCTAGCCCTGGTTCTAGACACTGCCTCCGTTTCCTCGCCGTCATTTTCTCTCTTGCTTTCAGACAAGCTCCAGTTGGATTCGTCCCACCTGTGCTCCAGCCAACTGTAATTAATTCAATTTGTGAATGGATGTAATTTACAAGCTTGCCTCCTTCACCTCTAATTTCAGAGCATTGCCGTTTCAACGGTGGCCAGGCCGCCAACTTCATTCAGAGGGGGTCTCCCTCAGAGCGAACTGTGGAGAATTGGTGCTTCCAGGGCCTGCCAAGGAAAACAACGTGCTCAGATGACCCTTACCCACTGACAGCCACCAACAGAAGCTATCTTTTCATCAGCAGGCCTGCGGATAGCTCAGCCAGGCATCTACTCTGTGGCTGAGTGGGAAGATGTAGGCATCAAAGAGATCTGATGAACAGGAATTACCACTCTGCTTCAGTTGAACTGTACATGTAAGTGACTAATTGCTCTAAGCCTCCATATCCTGATTTCAAAATGTTGCTAATAATAGGCATCTGCCTTCTAGAACCTGAGGGGAGATTCAAGGCCACGATGCCTGTGATCTCACTTGGAAGGCCTCCTGGCACATAAAACTCTGTGTAAGTGACGCCTCCCATTGCCTGGAAAGAATCTAGTCTTCTAGACTACTTAAGCTAATGATCATGTCTACAAGTTCGGACTTTCAGCATGCTCTACTCACAGCCACTTGTCCCCTTGGACTGTTTATTACAAATACCTTGCTATGGTGTTCCTGCTCACAGCCTTTTTTCCATGGCGTTCCCCTTCCTTGGCTGTAGTCACACAACAGTATATCAGTCAGCGTAAACTTGTGCTGCAGGAACAGAGGATCACAAAAACCTTGGAGGATTATAGCAGCCAAGATTTGTTTCTCATTATAGCACTATCCGCCCCCCCTTACCCAAGACAGATACGTTCCAAGGCTCCTACTGGATGCCCAAAACCACAGATGGCACCAAACCCTATCCATACTGTTTTTCATATTCATACCAGCCTATAAGGAAACCACATCTATACATCAAGCCCACTAAGAGGGTAACAATTGTCATCAATGATAAAAAAAAATCCTTATCATAATATAACCTAACAAAATGTATTTGAAACTTAAGAATTTATTTCTGAAAGTTTCCATTTAGTGTTTTCAAAGTATGGTTGTTTGGTCATCGGTAACTGAATTTGGAAAGCGGAAGCACAGATAAGGGTGGATGGTAACATCCATTTGCAAACAGCAAGTAGGAGTCTGTTCCATGCCTCTTCATTCCAGAAGCAAGGAGCACCACCTATGCAGGACAAACCTGACTCATGGCAGAGGAGAAACACAGGGAACACTTCCATACATTCTCAAGCGCTCATGCATATCACTTCTACTGGATTACCTGATGAATTCTCTTTTCCAAAATATTCCAACCCATGGTAGATTGACTCCAACGGCACTGAACCCTAGAGAGAAGGCTGGCTGTATTCCCTCTATGTTGTGGTATGGTCTGTACATCAAATTGCTCTGATTGGTCAATAAATAAAACACTGATTGGCCAGTGGCTAGGCAGGAAGTATAGGCAGGACTAAGAGAGAGGAGAAAAGAAAGAACAGGAAGGCGGAAGGAGTCAAGGCCAGCTGCCGCCATGACAAGAAGCATGTGAAGATGCCGGTAAGCCATGAGCCACGTGGCAAGGTATAGATTTATGGAAATGGATTAATTTAAGCTATAAGAACAGTTAGCAAGAAGCCTGCCACGGCCATACAGTTTGTAAGCAATATAAGTCTCTGTGTGTTTACTCGGTTGGGTCTGAGTGGCTGCGGGACTGGCGGGTTAGAGAGATTTGTCCTGACTGTGGGCCAGGCAGGACCAGAAAAACTCTAGCTACACCTCTACATTACCAAGTTACCTGTTTCAATACTTCTGATAACAATGGTGGACATTTCTCCCCCTTGACATTTGGCTATTCCCAAGGGACATTTTTGATTGTGGGTGAGAGCAGGGACAATGTCAAACAGCCTATAGTGCCTCAAACAGCCTCTCTCTGCCAACAAGGAATGAACTAACCCCAAATAATGCTAAGTCAATGTTTTTCAGATTAGAAACATCATCTCTGGAAGCATCTAGTAGGGCTGTGCCCAGCATAGTATTTATTATTATAATGTCTGAGAATGCCTAGGATACACCTTTTTTAGAACATTTAATTACATTTACTTATTTATTTTGTGGCCATGGGTGGGGGCACATGTACCACAGTGTGTGTGTGTGTGTGTGTGTGTGTGTGTGTGTGTGTGTGTGTGTGTGTAGGTCAGTTTTTTCTTCTACTGTGTGCATCCTAGGGATCAAACTCAGATGGTCAGACTTGGCAGCAAGCATCATTACCTGGTGAGGCAACTTACTAGCCCTGCATGGCGCATTCTTAACTGCCATAATTGAGGAAAGGATGCCTTATGTCACAGCATGATGCTGCAAACCTTCTTGCAGAGAATTGACTCTGGCAAATACTTAGAGTCATGGCTGAATTCCCAAGTGCAGATCACCTGTATGTTACCCACCCTCTCCACTACTGAACACCAAATTTCTCTGCTGGTGCTGAAGCCACAAACCAATAACCTGCCCTGGTAGTGTCTGACTGGGAATCATACAGTTCCACTGAGAGAGCAGTCCACAAGTCTTCCTTACCTTGAGGATGTCAGTCTCCTGAGTCTCAATCCATACGTGCTTAAAATAGCAGTGGCAGGTAGTGTTTTGCTTAGGACCCTGTTTGACAGTTACTTGGAACAGCGGCTCTGGTCCATGGAGCTGTGGATTCATGTTAGCTCCTTCCGGTTGGTACTACTGGGTTTTATTATTTATGGAAAAGCATGTTTTTTAAATTGCAAGGATATTTTCCCCAGCTCCTTATTTTTTATCCTGGATCATGATAGCAGTTAAATCAACCTCTCTCTCTCTCTCTCTCTCTCTCTCTCTCTCTCTCTCTCTCTCTCTCTCTCTCTCTCTCTCCCCCCCCCCCCTCTCCAGAGATGATTGATAATGCTAACTAGAGGAGCAATCCATAAAAAGTAAGTAGTAGTATGAAGTGGCATTTGCTTCTGACACCCAGCTTGCTGCTTTGGAATCCCGCTCCAAGTGTCTCTCTACGGAAGAAACAAATAAACAAAAAAGGTCCGGGTCAAAGATCACACAATTCAGAATCATTTGAAAACCCTTTAGAAGAGGGATTTCTACATAAAAGGGGAAATACAGTTACACTAAGCCCATGTATGGAAAATATTGCCCCTCTATGTTACACTAGAAATCTGTCGACATGAATATCAAAATCCAATCTTTTTGGAGAAGTTGGGTCAGGGTGGGATTCAGCACAGCTGAGTCCAGTTCCACATGCAATGGGTCTAGTCCCACATGCCCTGGCTCTCTGCCTTCTATCTCCACACACAAGCCACGCTCCTGTAGATAACATTCTATTTGTTTTCTGTTTCATGCCTCTGCTTTTCAGTCTCTTAGGTCCCTCTTCTCCACATCCACAGGAGGAAGATATCACGTAGTGTTTCCATCACAAGGAAGAGCGCAGTTTCTCTCTGCAAATCCCTTCTTTCCACAGTAAATGGATAAATAGTGCTTGCTTCCCAGCCTCTGCCTCCTTCACACAGCCTCTCTCCTGGATGGCTGCAACTGCAGCTTGCTTTGTTCAATTGCTGGGATTAACATCACTTCCTCACCTCCCCAGCTAGAGTGCATTTTTAGCAACGGGATCTGGCCACACCCAGGACCTTCATATCTCATCTACAACAGATGGGTGAAAGGAATTTTGAACAAAGTCTGTGAATAGACATGGTGTTTCCCCATAGCTCACTTTTCTCACCTGTCCCCTCTTATACTTCTTCACATTCAAGCCACGTCATACTACTATGCCCTCACACTTCTATAGCTTCCTTACCTCCAAGTCTCTGTATGTGCTATACTCTGGAGAATTATTACTTGTTGGAGATGAATCACACCAGAAACTCACTCTTCTAAGAACCCTTCCCTGGCTGCACAAGGTGTAAGCAAGAGCATATTGTCTCTGACTTAAAGCACAAAATACTTAGGAGCCCTGTCTGTTGATGGTCTGCATCATCTCTGTATCCTAGCGTGGAACAAGACACAGCACAGCATAGTCACAGAAAGCCATGACTTGGGTGGGCATCACTATGACTTGCAAAATGGTGAGTGCAATAATGGAACAGAAGCCTGAAGGGTCCTTAGCCTAAAGCTGGAAGCATCCAGAGAGCACATTTGATCTGGGCAGATGCCTTGATGATCCTCAGTCCTGCTGGTAATTGTTACCTTTATGGGACAGCTAAATTTGGTCGGGTATAATTGCAGGCTAGGCTTCTAAGACACTGTCTGCCATCTCTCCCTTCCCCACCCCTGAATGACACCTCTGATAGGCATCATAGCTTCAAGTTCCACTTCAGAAACAGTCAAGAGCCCAGAGTAAGGTTAAACTTCTGAACACACAGACCAAACCAGCCATATTATCTTTGGAGTTGGGAACCAGCAAATAGAGAAGAAGAATAAGAAGCGGCCTTCCAAAGCCATGGCAGCAATCCCTCTGTTGCTCTGGACTCTCTAGGGTCAGCAGCAGGAAAAAGGATGAAGACAGAAGCAGATGTCTTTCTCTTCAGCTGTGCTTGGATTCTGTTTACAAATCATCTGATTGGTGCCCCTTGAAACAGTTCGCTCAAGACCAGCATAAACCATGTCCTACCTAATATTGATGACCTATTATCATCTTGTTCTGAATGGCCCAGACAGCCCACCTGCAGGCACCATCTTCTGGTCCCTGCACATCCAATAGGCAGCTTTCTTGAATGGACACCTAAGGAAACTTAGCTACCCATCCTTGCCTAAGAAGCCCATGCACTTCCCATCTCCTACCAAAGCTCCACACATCTGCTACCATCTAGCCGCTGTAGGTATCTCAGGCAAGTGAGGCACCAGGGTCTTAGGTACTCTTCTGTCTCTGTGGAATGAAGAGTTTCCCTGTGCTCCTCCTCCAAGGTCCCTCCACATTCCATGGACATCTTTTTGGAACCTAATGTCTTAGCTCCATTCCCCATTCCTCTTGTCCATCTGACCTTCCTACAGAAGCCCCTAGTCTTCTCTCACATGGAATGGGTCCTTCTGTAGACAGACTTGCCATTCTCGCACTAGATAGCAATCCATCCTTAACTCTTCAGATTGGGACATCATCCATATTCTGAGAAAACAGGAAGATGTTTCTACTGTGTTATGAATCACATTTTGATGGTATCAGACAGGTGGGGTAGATAGGACATTTGCTTGATGCATGCCTCTTTGGCTACTGAAATATTTCTTCTCCCTTTTCCTCCCTCCAACCCCTCCCAGCTGCATTTCTTGTACTACTCCTATGTCCTCCCCAACTCTTAAGTTGATAACTCCCTTTTCTTTAGTTATCATTGTTATATACATTTGTGTGTGTGTGTGTGTGTGTGTGTGTGTGTGTGTGTGTGTGTGTGTGTGTATGTGTGTGTGTGTGTGTGTGTGTATGCACCATTATATAAAAATACAACCTACTAAGTCCGTTTTTGTTGGTGGTCTGTATATTATTTCAAGGCAGACCACTCTGCATTGGACAACCAATAAGAGAGATGAATGCTTCCTAATGATGGTGTGCTCTGCTGACATGCAAGCAGAGGGCCAAAGCCTTTGATTCCTGTAGATAGCACAGGTCATACCCCTAGCAACAGTAGATAGTGTTTGTCACTTACCAGACTTAACTTGCTTTTTTGGTGATCATAGTTTAAAATGATGGCTTTCATTTGTACACATTTATGTCTTAGTTTGGTGTCTAGTGCTATGATGAAGACCATGACTAGAACCAACTTGGGGATGAAAGGGTTTATTTCGGCTTACAGCTTATAGGCCGTCATAGAGAGAAACCAAGACAGGAACTCAAGACAGGAACCCGGAAACAGGAACTGAAGCAAACGCCATGGAAAAAAACTATTTCCAGGCTTGCTCGCTAAGACTCCCCCTACCACCCAAGACCACCTGCCTAGGAGTGGCACCACCCACAGTGGGTAGAACCCTCCCACATAAACCCCACTAAATCATTAATAATTAAATCATTAAATCAAGAAAATGTCTACCTATAGTCAAGCTGATGGAGGCATTTTCTCAAATGATGTTCCCTCTTCCCAGATGGCTCTAGCTTGTGTCAAGTTGAGAAAAAAATAAGCATCATGTCTATTCATTTAGGAATACTGATTCAATATACTGTAGTATCTCAGGACCATTGACTGGAGTGTACATAAAAGCACCTGAACCCAAGAAGTACTAGTCAACTACTCTGAAAGCTCCCAGCCTGACATCCCAGGGAAATCCTCTTGTGAACCTACAGAGCATGTGAGCCACAAGGGCGAGAACTGAAGCATCTGCTTGGTGTGAGGGTCAACGCTCCACTAAGGAGGTATGACTGCAGAGCTGATGGGTAGGAGAGCTGGCAAGCCTTGGGTGGGTGAAGCAAGAATAAAGGAAGAGAGGAAGACAGTCTATGTCCTAGCACACATCCTGAAGTCCTGAGATGAGAAAGAGGAAGCTGAGGCTGGTGACTGAGCCCTGGCCCTGCACAGAGCTGACCATCTGTCTGACCCCTTCTTCCCCTCTGGTCATCACTGTGGTTGACCTCAAGCCAGTGACAGTTCAAGTAAGGAATATGGTTAAAAGATAATCCAGAGACTAGAATCACACCTGAACACCTGTAGAGCCAGGTACGATGGTCTCTGAGCTTAGTGATCAAAGTAGATCAGCACAACTTGCCCTTCTGTGCTTGCTGAAGGACAAAATCTGCCTTGATTTTGGGTCAGTGCAACAGGGGCCAACAATTTACTTCTGAAGAGCCACTAGACCTGGCCTTGTTTCCAGACATTAATTAATTAACTAATTTTGAAAAACAAACTAGTGTCCCTGGGCATTACAAAACATGGATGTGAAGGCTTCTCTTCCCTGGGGTCAAGAGCCAAGGCCGGCTCCAGGTGCCCTTGACGCTGTGAGTCAAGACATTAGTTGGTCTGTAGAAAGCTTAAGCAATTTTGTGACATCCTCCAGGAGGCCTCAAATCTCCAACCCCCATGAGTCACCCTTCCTCATCATCAAGAGGCTCCTCCTGGGGGAAAAAGGCCCACTGACCATGGCCAGGATCTATGAACAGGGTCAAGGGAAGGGTAGAACCTGTGGGAAGCAAACTCTTCAGTGCAGTTGGCATCTATTCTGTGGCCAGCCCCGTTAAGGCCATGAAAGATGTAAGATGAATAAAATGCACTCCTGCCCCTTAGGAGCCACAGTCAAGGAGAATACAGACCCAGGACACACAGATTTCTATGTCAGTGTCTGGCAGTGAGGGATGAGATGGGCATTCTCCAACTCTGAGCTCCACGATAAAAAATAATTTTGGAGGAGTCAGGTAAATCCTCATAGTGCATGGTGCTGGTAGATAGGACAGATCTGTGGGGGAAATGCTAAGGAAGCTTGCAGCAGTGAAAGACTGCATCATGTATGGTGCTCTGGATTATAGGCATTGTGTCTTATGGGATGTTCAGAAACCGAGGAGGCCAGATACTTGGACTGCAGTTTAAGGAGTGCAGGGAGATGATGTGTATTGGAGAGCAAAGGGACCTGCATCGGCACACTCCCGAAACCCAGCGTTGTGGGAACTGCAGTGTCTGACCAGGGGCTAAAGAGTGTGAACCCATGCAGATCACTGGTTCTCTTCCGCAGGGACCGCCATAGGCTCAGAGATGGAACCAGGACATCCAGTGGCTCTGGAGTGTGATTTTATCCATTTCTACCCCAGCACTACCTCCATACAACCCCAGGGAGGTGACTGAGTCCCTTGCCTAATACTTCCTCAGCTCAGTGCAACCCATACAGCTG